TCCTTTTTCTTGTGTTATATAGAGTGGATTTTAAAATGCCATACTTCTCGCATAATTTTGAGATGGATAGGCCTTTATCCATTTTCTGCAGTAATTCCACTTTTTGTTTAATGGACATCGAAAAATGCTTTCCGCTCTGTAGATACCTTTGGACAGCTTCCAGAATTGGAAAACTCTTTTTCAGACATAATCGAAAGTTCAAGCTTAATTTTTATAAAATTGCTCTAAGAATCTGCAAAAAATAAGTAAGCCTGGATCCAATTAGAAGATTAAGGAACAGCCGCAATTCTGCAACATTAACTGAAATGCCTAGAATCAGTAAAAATAATTTTAGCCTAGCTTATACCGTCCATTATACATTAAATGTGTATGCGTGAACGCATTATGTGCATAAAGTTTGCAGCTTTGTGGTCTGGATTATAGATTAATCCAGATTACAGACTTTGTACTGTATTTATTAAAAGTACACAAATTGTAGTAAAATTTAATATGATGGAATTAAATTTGTTAATGCTTCAAATCTGACTGACTATGCCAGATAATTTTAAAAACTCTGATCTGAGACTTAATCGTTTAAAGTCAGACCCTTAAGTAAAAAAAAATTAATGCCCCCTGCTAAGCATTCCACATAAAAAATACAAAAAAAAAAGCAAATGTGTAGCATACATTATACTAATAAAATATAATTTACAAATATTATGGAAATTGCATATTAATGGGAACCCATGCTAGATTCTAAATACAAATTTGCTTTCCACTCAGCTAATAGACTGTTAAAACCTAATATCAGCAACATTTTGTTTACTGGGTTTAAAAATTTTTACATCCCTCTCACAGCAAATACTTCTTTTTATGAATATTGCAGTACTAATTTAAGAATCATTCATATAAAGTTCTAGAGACTCTTGTCACAGATTGCTTTTACTTTAGATAAGATAAAACAATTTAAGAATTATAAATTGTCTTAATTTATACAACCTACAGAGTGTGTCTAACAGAAAGAACACTTTTAATGATCATTTTCTGCAAACGTTCTTGTTTATTAAGAACTGCATAATAAATCAGTTTATGCAAAAAATAATTACATCAATTATAACATAATTGCATAGGTGGAAATTGTACCTTATATTCCCAGTATTCCAGATGGAGAAAGAGGAAAGAAACAGGTGTAAGCAACTGCATCAAAAAATATATGAAATTAATGTGTGTAATAAATCTTCTAATCTAATTTCTTCGGAATCTGTTGTAACCAGAAAGATGCATATCACCTTTCTTTAAAAGACATTAAAAAGAGGAGGAAGAACTGAATGAGCAAGAAGATGCACACTGTTAAACTATCACATTAAATGCAATCAAAGTATTCCATCCACTGACAATATTGTAAAACTTTTTATATAAATTTTAAGGAAGATGTTTTAAACAAAAATTAATGCCATTTTACATGTCTTTAAATAAATTAATAAAATACATGAAGACTTTAAAAATATAGAATGCTGTTACATAAGCTACAAATGCTTACACACAAGACAAGACGAATATTTAAGCCATTCCCAAATTATTTTATAATATAATTGAATTTTATAATATAATTAAAGCCTTAACACTGTTAAAAGACCATAATATTACTCTTAATGTTTCGACCATAATATTACTCTTAATGTTTCAGAACAGAGATAAAGCATACATTTAAAATTAAGAAAAATTCAATTTTTGAATAATGCTGATATTATAGCAAAAGTTCGCATTTTACAGAAACCCGTAATCAGTCCTCCCTCTTCAAAAAGTGCTAATATTCTGCATTGGTATGCTTATCTTTCATATACCAATAATGCATCCATTTCACAAATTGAAAGCCATCACTTCAGAATTCGAAGAATGCTGATGTTAGAAATATCTTTTAGTCTTCACATTTTTATCACAAGCACATTTAACACATTAAATCCCTACTAACAACTTTTCTGTTAAATTTTACTGCAACATGCAAGTAGGTTTCTGAACATACATTCTTATATTAAATTGACTAATTCAGATAATGGACAAATAAACAAAAATTCAAACATAATTTAACATGCAAACATTCACACGTAATCTAACACAGTAAGAAATTTATGCAATATTGAATGAAATTTTACAAATTTTAATAAAATGATATTGTATCAAAAATTTTTGTTTAGGGTAAATAAATTGCTAATTGAAATGAAGTTCTGAACAACACAGAAAAGGACTATGTTAGATCATGGAACTGTTTTTCACAAATGCTAATCAAACAAGGTCTCAATGAAAATATATATTATACAATAAAATACTTATTCCAGATTTTAAACAAAATCCTATGATGTTAATGCACATATTCTAATTAAAATATAATTTCTCATATGCCAAAGCTTCATATAATTCACCTAACAACATTTAAAAACAATCCACAATGCTTGAAGCATATTAAAGCAAATGAGTTTTTTCATTTGTTAATTATTTTGTAAAAAATACACATGTACTTTTCTGCAAAATTTTATACCATATTTTTTAAAGTAGAATAAAATTCTTAATTATTGTAAGTAAGAAAGGGTATAATTTTTCATGAGCAAAACAAAACCTAAATATATTTGCATTAATTTTTCATCCCAAACAACTTTACATTGACAAAATAATTAATCTTATATAAATTCGAAAAACACTTTACTTAAAAACTCAAGGAAAATGAATTTCATACTGTATAAGGAGAATTCAAATCTTTTAATATGGTTACTGGAATAACTCAATATTGGTGAAACATGTGCAATCAGTACATTTTATGTATGTGGCAGAAAAACACATACATGGAAGACCCACTGTGACTTACGTTAACAGTGTCCTCCTTGTTCAGAAATAGTCTTATGTAATTACATCTTGGTCTCTTTACCACATCTGAAAGTTCTGAGCCAAGTGTTTTGAAATAAAAGATATAAGAAAAATGGTGTTTACCAAGAAATATATTTTCACAAACATTTGGGTAAAACCCCAAAACTCCTGTGAGAATTACATCCACACTATTAGGCCCTCTCCCCCTAAAATTGGTACTGTTCTGTTATCGGAACTGGATTAAAAAATGTATGAATGTATGCTCATATGTATGTATTGTATGTACAAATATGTGTATATACACACATATACATTTGTTCTTACATATATACATGCATAAGTGAACACACCTATACATGTATACATGGACACATCTATACATGCGAGAAGAATGAAGGATATATTACTTGAGAAAAAGGCAGATATGTGGCAAAAGCAATTTTTCTTTCGACTATCTGAGATTCTTGTTAAAACACCTGTTACAGTGTGTTATTTTAAAATAGGAATTTCAACATTATTTTTTGCCACCAAGTATCCAGGTACAACAGCCATTGGGGGAAAAAGTCAATTTTACCCCTTCCATTTTTATTTAATGTTTTTTGCTTCATGAAAAGTGTGCACTTGAAGATTGATTTGAACTACAATCTCAGATGACGTGGAAAAATAAAAGAAAGAAAGAAAGAATTAGATTTTTAGGAACTAAATTCAGTTAACATAGCAAACTGTGCTTTTTTCTTAACTTTCCAATTCGATGCAGCATATTATTTTGTCTGTCTATTATTAATACTCCTATAAAAATTACAGTTTTAGAAAATGATCACATCTTCGTTTTACTCTTTTCCCAACACTGTATGTCTATCAATCAGCCAATGAATATCAAAATTTTGTGCTCACTGAAATGCAGATATAAAGTAGCTTGTTAAAAAATGATGAAATAAAATGATTCATGATTTCGAAATATATTTCATTAAAAAAAATCTGATGTTTAGGGAAATGCAAGATCATGAGGTGATGTGTCTACAAATATTTTTAAATGAACTTGCCATAATTTATAGCCAGCTAGAAATTTCATGATGATGGGAGAACTGTCAATCTGAAGGTTTTCGAACATCACAAGAAATGGGAAAATTTTCTAATTGGTGAAATATGAGATGAAATGTTTAGTGGAGAGAATTAAACTGCTACGATAATGCCTCAATCTTCAATCAATCAGCAAATATTTGTAGTGTGGCAATATCAGAAAATATTGCCATTTTGGCTTTTAGTCTCAATTTAACTTCATGCGATGGTGTTCAAAAAAAATTTCTTCATGCCATCTTACCATATTTAAATTGATATAAATTAAAGAGTCACTAAAGTCCAAATTTCGGAACTTTATGCAGTATTTTCTTAATTAAAAAAACCAAAAATGATCCTTGTATTTTATTCCTAACATATTTTTCTTTTAAAATGTTGCTTTAACATCTTGGACTTGCTTCAAGATGTATGCATATACGCTTATTTAAAAAAGTTACAAAAATATTCTAGGCCATGCTGCAAGGTTAAAAGCTGAAATAAAAATTCTGAGACTTTTAGTTTGTCAATTAAATTAAATATTTTCCAAAAAAAAACATTTGAACATTAAATTTTAAAAAAATCAAGTTTTGAAAAACTATTACTCCACATTACACTGTCAACCACACATGATGTGTGTGCAAAATGTGAGCTTAAAGCTTATTAGGAAGTAATTTAAAAATTTAGGACAAACTTCTGAACAAAGTAACGAACACTCCAAATGAGATAAATACAAGCTTCAGTCACAAAATCTTTTTGCAAGGTTAAAATAAAACTGCTGACCTCTAAAGTTAAAAGATAATTCATACAGTTCAAAAATATAACCACAGGTTCAGGATTAAAAAAAAAAAAAAAAAAAAAAAAAAAAAAAAAAAACCTCTCCAATGAATATAAATAAATATTCACATAATAATATTCTTTAAAGCAGATAAAAATTATGCATTTTTGCGCTAAACATGTTTCCATATGTTATAAACTTGATGAAATACAAATTTTAAATGTGTACTGACTTTTTACAGCTTAGCAAAAAACAAAAGTTAAAAAGAAATTAATCAAGATTATCAACAACATAAAATACCCTATTTATAAAAATGTGTGAAACAACATACCTGTATTCGTACTATTAGGTGACTGGGCTGCTGCAAGAGCTGCAAGCTGTTGCATATTTAGAGAATTCATTCCTTAATAGAGAAAAGAAAAAGGCCTTAAAAAAATAACAAATAAAATTAATCCGAGGTAAAACTTAATCCTAGAATGACTGCTTAAATAGTTACTACACATATTTCATTTGAATTCAATAAGAAATAAAAATAGTACAAATAGTGGATATAAGCACACCTCCAAGTTGAGGTAGACTAGTGAAATTTCCATAACCACCTGTTTGTGCTTGCTGAAAAGAAAATGATATAGAAATCAATACTTTTTACCTTTGGTTTATTTAAAATATTGTATGAAATTGATCAAGTTATTCCAAATAAAACTGCATTAAAAACAGAATATAAAATTAGGAAACTTACTGCAGCAATATACTGAGAACCAAGACCTATGTTGCTAAAACTAGTCATATTCCATATGTTCGTCATCATTTGTTGCTGTCGCTTTAAGTCTTTATCCTTTTGTGTATCTGCAAATTTCACGACAAGAGGACTACTACAACCCTTTAAAAACACAGATTTTCAATTAGAAGAAAAAATATTTTAGAATAAACAAAGTCAACAATCTACATAATTCTTTTCAAAACTAATTTACCTTTTTAATATAAAACTTAGATTTTTATCTTCTAAGTAAGCAGTATACATACGTTAAAAAATATTGGTCATGATGCTTTTAAGTACACAGACAAGCAATCATCTTGAAATATGTTCAGACAATTAAGCAAGTATATAAATAGGAAAAAAATCTAGGTAAAAGTAGAAGGATCATTTTGGAATTACAAACCACGACAGTACAGTTCACTCATGACCTTTCGGGGAAGTTTATGGTTTTGCGGCCAAAATCTTGGCTGCTTGGAGGATAATTGGCACCATTTTTCTTAATATAGAATAGTACAAAGTCTCAGATATGGAACCACCAGGACTTTGCTGATTCCAGATTTTAGATCTTCAGTTTAAATACATTGCATTTTTTTTCCTTTAATTCAGTAATCAGAATAAAAATTTTATAATTTTCATAGGAAAAGTGCTCTTTTCACATGTGTACATGTATATATTTAGATCAAATTTTCATTTATTTCTTTTATTTTTGGATATGTTTGATTGCTTGTTTTATATGCTTTGGACTTGGTTTACTTATAGTGAAAATTTTTTATTCGATTTTAAAGTTTTTCTGTTTACGATTTATATACTACAGTACAAAGTTCGAAATTTCGATGTCCATTATTCAGAATGATCTAAAATCCGAACCTCAAAGCCACAATTTTTTTCTTTTCTTTCTTTCTTTCTTTTTTTTTTTTTTTTTTTTTTTTTTTTTTGTATGCTTTATGCATCCGCATTTGATTTTCCCTTCCATAATAAAACATGTAGAGATTTTCACTTAAAAATTTCGATTCTTAATTTCACTTACACACTAAATAAAATACCTAGTTATGGAAAAACAATCATGTAACCATAAATTTATGAGATTAATAATTTGGCTCCGTAGCTGAGTATCTGCTTGGCATACATCTCAAACCCAAACATTCACCTACTTTACATCCCTGACGACAATCTGGCGAGTCATTATTATATTTTGCTTTCATCATCACATGTTTATCAATACATGGCAGCTTCAGTAATAATTCAGCGATGTCTAAACTTTTTTTATATTAGGAATTGAATAACAAGAGTATGGCAACCTTTTATGCTAACATTACGCTTGGCGATGATTATAGATTTTTAAATGCTCTAAGAAATATTGCCGAGGAAAAATTCAAAAAAATTTCTTTTCATATACTAAAAAAATAGGTTTTGTAAATGAAACTCACAGACCAAAAGATTACATTTAGTGCTATTTTAATTAAGAATAACTGCTATGTTATTCACCATAAACCCATAAGCAGCAGCAGAATACGTCGGAATGGGATGGCAGAATTTAGGGAAGACGAAATTTTTGGAATTTGGGGAAGCACTGGGCGACAAAATTAAGGGATGAGAAGTTTTTTATGATTTAGGGAAAGTACTGGGATCCAAAGTTTAGGCACGGTGAAAATTTAGAACTCTGGAAGGCACTTTGCAGCAGAATTTAGGATCCATAGAGACTTCACCAGGCGGTATCTAGCGGTGGCCCTAGATAAAGCCTTCAATATATGTGGGAGTTTATTTATTCAAGACTCAGATTAGTTTTAAGCAAGTGCAAGAAATAGCTTTCATCGCCAATCTTGTGATATACAGCCAATAATGTATAATGCTATTAAGCTAGGCTAAAATTATCTTTACCAATTCTAAGGTATTTCAGTTAATGTAGCAGACTGTAATGCTACCTAATCTTCTAATTTGATCCAGCTTATTATTTTTTGCAGACTGTTATTATTACGACAATATTATAAAAACCAAGCATGAACTTTTAATTATGTCAAAAAGAGTTTCCAATTCTGGAGCTGCCAAAATATCTACAATCCATCTCAAAATTATGCGAGGAGTATGGCATTAGAAAGTCAACTGTATAATGACATAAGAAAAAGGAACATTTTGAATTTTTTGTGGAAGCAAATCAAACAACTTACACAAGAAATGTTTAATAAAGTAAACAAATAAATATTAAACTTTTTTTTGTAAATTTTGATACTCTTTAGATCATAATTGTTTATTTATTTCATAAATTACCATTTCATATTTTTAATTGTATAATTTCTGCATGCCATCTTAGCAGCTTTAAATTGATGATCTAATATCCGGAAAAATCCCAAATCCGGAATTGCCGAAGTCCCAACGATTTTGGACTTTGTACTGTATTATATTTTTGATCTGGGTTGTGTATTTTCCAAATGTGCATACAGTTTTGTTATTTCTAACTTTGGATTAAAAATTTTGCATATGGTTTTATTTTCTCAGTACCAGATTATTTTTGAAAGTTTTGTTTTTGGACTCGATTTACTCAAAATATTTTTTAAAATTTTGTCTATATTTTTTATGCTATAATTTTGCATTTTTGGCACTGCTTCCTTCGGCCTCTAAAAGTTGGACTGATAAAGACAGATTATTTTGGTCGATTTTAAGATTATTTTTTAATTTTAAACTTTTTGCATCTTGTTAATTTTGTGTGTTTGTTAATTCAGAACTACACTGCTTTATTCAATTGCTTCTTTCGTTGTCCCCACTGCCATGACAATGCAGTGGAAAATGTAAATTTCATTTTGGTCATATTTTGCCATCCTATTTATTGCAATTTGCCACTGTGCTTCTGTTTTTGGTATCTGCATGCAGTTTATTCTGCATTGATTATAGGATAAATTTTAAACATACTTTTTACTTTGCATTACATATATATATACACACACACAGCTATGCAAAAAGTCATGTGACAGAAACTAGTATGCAAGTTTACATGTGATGCTCACATTGTGTTAAAAGGGTATAAAGACTTGTGGTTATTAGTGCTGTCAGTTGACTTATGTATAGATATCATCCGAAATGTTTAACCACTTGCACTACAACTAAACTTCACAGTTGGGGTACCATGCGCTACAATATAACAAGCGGTTAAATGTCATTTACGCCGCTCCACGTCTGCAATCCAGAGCTCTAACTTGAGAAACAATCTCACTGTTAGGCGACGTGTGCACCACGTTATTTTCATTTTTGCAATAAATGCCTACCGACGTGGTGTTCACATCGTTTGCGGTTTGAGACAAAAGCATCTCGATGCGTGTGGCACGTCATTTAGCGCAAGTGATTAATAACGTGACAATGGGTATCTGACACAAACTGAGTTTGAATGTGGAAGTTGAAGCTTGAGGTGCAGGGCATAAATTGCTGTGATTTTTACTATGAAGGATATATCAAGAACATAATACAGAAGGCATTATCCAGAAGGGACAGCACAATGGCTGACCATATATGCTAAATGATAGAGACCAGTGACATCCGAGCAGTAGCATACATGTTAACAGATGAATGACACCGAATGAACTAACAGCAACAGCCAAAAGACACACTAGAAAAATGTCAGTGAGGACCATGTAGTAGAATTTTGCACTGATGAGATATGGTAACAGAAGACCGAATCAAATGTTTTTACAGCACAACAGATTTTTACACATCACTTGTGTTTGCAAATATATACATTCAGCCACAGACAACTGGAAGAATGTAGCTTATACTACAATCCAATCCAATACTACACACTGGTAATGGTGTGCACCATGTTAGTTTGGCAAGGACTGTATCAAACTGAACCAAACATAGCAGGAAATCATCATGTTTGGCTGCTTGAAGCCATTCACGGCACTTTAAGGCTTTCACATACCCATATAATAATATATTCTGGTATGATAAGGTCCGGTTACTAGGTCTGAATTAATGCAAATGGTTTTAGGAGCATTCGGGACAACTGGACAATTCCAGAAATGATTTGGTCTCCTAGATTGCCAGATATGAATTCACTGAAGCACATCTGGAATATGACAATCATTTGTGCATAATATCCAGTATCTATCACAATCATGCAATCATGGGCAGCTATCGAGACAGCATGGGTGACATGTCTCTTAGGAATTTCTACTGATTAGTTCAGTCCATGTTATGCCAAGTTCTTACACCTTGCTGAGCTAAAGCAAGCCCCTATACCATAGTCATATCTCCTCCAAATAAGCAAAACCTGTTCTAGGTTAAATATTTATCTTTATATACAACTATGTACAGATTACAATTTAGAAATACTTTAAAATACATTTTCATTACAGTAGAGGGTGCAAACTAGCGTCCACTCCTTTCTCTTTCACATCTCAGTCTCTTCTTACTTTCTCCCCACCTGCAACCAAGGGGTAAAGTCTACTCTCCCCCTTCCGGCTGAGGCGAGAAGAGGGTTCTCTGTCCCTTCTTTTAGGGTGGGTGACCAAGTGTTCTTTTAGAGAAGGGGAACGTTTCAGCTCCTTCCCCTTTTCGAAGAAACATTTTGCTCATCAAAATGTTTAAGTATATTTGAGATAAAGAGTTAGTTACACACATACATAAGGAAAAAAATCACATAGAAGTACCGTGATATTACATCAAGGCCAGTGACACAATTAAAATACATAAAATTCACAAAAGAATACAGAGATAAATACAAGCATATTTTTTTTTAAGTTGCAGACCTGCTTAGACTGTCAGCATTTTTATGGCTCTTCCCAGCTCGATGAATAACTTGGAAATTATACGGCTGCAGGGCTAACGCCCACCGCATTAGCCTGGGATTAGAGCTTGCATTAGTTTTTAACCAAACTAAGGGGTTGTGGTCAGTAATTATAGTAAATTTTGGACAAATAATAATGCATTTTTTTTCCAAATAATAATGCAATTTTTTTTACAAGATGGGATGTTCGGTGGTGTTCTCATCCATTTGTGTTAATACCACTCCCATCCCTAAATCGGAAGCATCAGTTTGCACCATAAATTCTCTATTAAAATCTGGTGCGTGTAGCACAGGTTCCTTCGTTAATTTTTCCTTCAACTGAATAAATGCGTCTTCGCATTCCTTTGTC